AGAATTAAAGTAGCTATCTTGGGATCTATTCACTTCCTTAACCAGGAAGAAACTCTAGGAAAGGGAGGTGATACAGTTTAGTCTTCCTGTTAATATGCTGATAAGTGGTCCCTCTGGTAGATGAGATAATGAGTTTTTTGTTAGGAGGAAGGTCCTTATCTGAAGAATGCTATTAGTACTCTGTCCCTTGCTAATAATGCTTACAATAAACAAACCCAAAATCTATGGGTTTATGAAGCCTGGCACAATGGAGAATATCATGCAAGCTATATAACCTTGGGATATTAAATAGAGAAGTTTCAAAATGTAAATGTCCGTGATATGAGGTAATGACTAGACTTCCTCATTTGGAGACTCTGGGCTGGAAAGTACATGTCTGATGGGGAAAGGAAGGACCTGTGTAATTGCATAAGAGTGCCAGATTGCTCTCCTTACTTCACCTGTTCCATTTGACTACTTGCATTCTTACAGTTATTGGTAAAGCTGATTCTAGGTAAGATATCTAACACATTGAATCTGATTTGATAACATGATTATTTGCACTGGCTCACAAATAAAACTGTCAGAAATAATTACTAGTGTAAGATTAAAGATACTTTTAATACAACTACTTTCATAGAATAAATGAACAAAATGTTACATTGACATAGCTAATTAACACAGTACAGTGTACTCACAGGCTATAATAAAGTATCTTTTACCCTACGGAGAAACTTGTTTTAGCATTCATAGGAAGAAAAGTTACCAAAATCACAGTTTGTGAAAGTACAGAAAAAAAACTTAGTAACTTTTAAAAAAAGCATATAAAACCAGACATATCATAAAATTCTAAACAGTATATGAATACATACAATGATAAACCTCTAATCTAAGGGGTAGATGCAGCCTAGAATACTTTCGAACATTTCTTCTGAAATGGGATTCTCCCTAGAGTTGTGGTGAGGTTCAAATGATATGATATAGTTATTATATTATTTTGATGATGTATCATTTAACTTTAATGCCTTTAGTCAAGCTGTGCAGAAGCCTGATCCTAACTGCTGATTATAAGTTCAAAGGATTATTTTTCTTTGAGACTCTCTATCATCCAGTCTGTAGTGGAGTGGCGTGATCTTGGCTCGCTGCAACCTCTGCTGCCTGGGTTCAAGCAATTCTCCTGCCTCAGCCTCCCGAGTAGCTGGGATTACAGGCACCTGCCACCATGCCCGGCTAATTTTTGTGTTTTTAGTAGGGATGGGGTTTCACCATCTTGGCCAGGCTGGTCTTGAACTTCTGACCTAGTGATCCACCCACCTCAGCCTCCCAAAGTTCTGGGATTACAGGCTTGAGCCAGTTTGCCTGGCTGGATGGTTTTAATAATAGATTTCAGAATGTAAAACTAGGGGAAGAATAAAACAAAAGGAGAAAGAATTTTAAATTAGAGGAGAAGTAAGAGGTAGCAGGCAGAACAAGGTCTCAAAGAAGAATACAAAAATTCTCATTTTAAAGAATATTTAACATAGGAAGAAGTAACAACCTTAGAGAGGAAGAGATTAAAAAAGAATACAGATAGGCTGGGAGTGGTGGTTGACACCAGTATTCCCAGCACTTTGGGAGGCTGAGGTGAGTGGATCACCTGGGTCAGGTGTTTGAGACCAGCCTGGGCAACATGGCAAAACCTCATCTCTACTAAAAATACAAAAGTTAGCTGGGCGTGGTGGCAGCTGCCTGTAGTCCCAACTACTCAGGAGGCTATGGCAGAATTGTTTTAATCCAGGAACCTGAGGTTGCAGTGAGAAAGACTGCACAGTGACTGAACTCCAGAGGCAAGACTCCATCAAAAAAAAAAAAAAAAAAAAAAAATGCAGCTATAGGTTACTGTATATATTTAGCTGTGAGGAATTAAAGGATCTGAAAATATGTTGCACATCTTTGGGCCCTTCTTTCCCTAGATGGCAAATTTCATGTTTATTAAATTATCTCCTCCAATATCTAGGAAAGTGAATCTGGATATATCATAGGATGTTCACAACTTACTGAAGCAGTAAACTAAAGTGGATAACGTAATTAGCTTTATACTCAGTTATAAGTTGCTTTATTTCTCTAAGCTTGAGATTCATATTCTGTAAGATAGGAATAAAAATGATATCTACCTAGTGAGACAGTAAATACAAAACACATAATATAGTGCCAGGCATATAGTAAATGCTCAGTGTAAAAGCTAGTTATTACCATTATTATTAAGAGATTTGTTGCACGTTTTGAGTAATTTCAATATATGCTTGAATTTTACCATTTCCTTCTCCAGCTGTAACTTACTGATCTATAAATGTTGGTAAGTTAATTTAACTTTAACTTTCAAAGAAAAAGAAACTGTTTTAGAAGCCAGTATTTATACTAATATCAAAGTTGAAAGTATGGACACTATTAAAAAGGCAGCAAAGACTTGGGTTTCATACACCATAGTCTATAAAATTAGAACCTATGATTTTATAGTATCATAAAGATCAGGCTAATTTTTTTTTCTTGGTTGGCCAGAAAAAAACAAACTCCCATTTCTAAAAATACTCAGGTTTTCTTCACAAAGAAGTCATCCTGCAACAAAATACCCTATCATTATAGAAAGCAAGAATAGGACAGTATGTCATCAATAAGACTATAAAAATGTAGTGGTATGTGAGCCAAGGAAAAAATTTCTCTGGGAAAATAAATAAGTAGAGTTTTTTTCTCCAAATCTAATTGAGAATGAGAGTTTGCTTTGTCATGATTTCTTTGATACTCCCAAGTAGGTAATAACCACTTCCTAAGAAAATTACAAATGATCTTTTAGTTAAGAAAAATGCTGTTATGTATTTGCTTCGTTTAGAAAAGATGACAAAATTTATAAAAGAACCATAAATGAGGAATGAAATTTGACACCTAAAGAAAGCAAATATATAGCCTTTCTAGTACTCTTTTTATTCTAGTACTCTTTTTATATTTAAATTTATTCCAGTTTTTAAAAGGTATTACAAAAGAAGTTGAAGTCAGAGCAGCCAACCCAGCATACCCTAACTCCTACCACAAACTCAAGACATACACATACTATGAATTTTATGAATTCCAGGAATACATAGGCTATGAATTTGGCTTTCTATGGTGCAACAATTCCACAGTGAGCTTATATGATCACAGGGAAAAAGAGAACACAAATCAAACCAAACCAAACCAAACCAAACCATGGTAGTGATATAGTAATCTTGTAAACCTACAAACTTTCTCACTGAATCAGATTTCTCTTTGCTGATGAGATTCAAAAACAGAAACAGAAAACAGGCTTTACATTTAGATAAAAAATGACAACTTTTCTAATTAATCAAATTCATTATCAAAATTTACAAAAGAGAAGTATTCTAAAGACTGAGTATCTTTTGTTTCCAAACTCTTCATACACTGAATACAAGTTTGTTATATTCAATAAACCATGGAAAGAATGTAGTGTGTGTGTGTGTGTGTGTGTGTGTGCGCGCGTGTGTGTGTGTATATGTATATACATTTGTTTATTCCAGTTTTTAAACAGTATTACAAAAGAATTTAAAGTCAGAGTAGCCAACTATATATTGTGTGTGTTTACGTATGCATATATGTAGATATGTATGTATATACACACACACACGCGCACACATACACACACACACACACACACACACACACACACTGCATTCTTTCCATGGTAAAATAAAATCAGCAATTATATAGTAGCTGAAAGCCTCTGAATAATTTAAGACTCCAAAAATGACTAGAAATTACAGGGAAAAATTTAGGTAGGCAATGTAATTTAGTAAGAACCTTGGTTAAGAGAAAGTGAAAGAGATAAATTGTAACTTCCTATTTTATTGCTATTCTCAAAGCAAAATCTCTAAAGATTTTATTTCTCATAGGAATATCATTTGCAAAAGATATATGAAAAAGCCTAAATGAATCTACAAACTACAGAGACACAAATGATCATCAGCAGTCAAATACAAAATACTTCTTCTTCCTGAATGTCTGGATAAAAAGGAGATTATAACTTTGAGAAAGGAAAGTTGGATCAGACGGATTCCATGAATTTTGTAATAGTGTTCAGGGGTGAAGGATGAACACAAGAAACAAATATACTTCATATTAAAGAGTCATTTCCTAGACATTTTTCTTCAGACCAACTGGGATAACTCTCTCCTATTAAACACTTTACTATCCCTTTAAAAAGAAGAAATGGTGAGAAGCTTTGATAACCTAACTCAATTAAAATATTGTTAGAGAGCTTTCTTTCTCCTTTACCTAATTCAAAACTTGGAAAGTTATACCAAAATGTAATAGGCAAACATGCATGCAAAATGACCCTGCAATTAAGAAAATTGCTGGTACCAAATGTTGTTTTTAAGTTCTACAGTAAAACAGTCTCCCAGACATTTAATGTCATGTCATTTGGTAAATGAAAGTTTCCACAAAGTTAGAGCAGTGAGAAGACCTAAAAATTATGCTAGTGAAGAGTCTGACTCAAGAAAATAAAAATATGGGAACACGTTGCTCTAACACTTATTTTATTTGAAGTTACTACAGAACTGAATAAAATGCTGACACCACTACATAAAAATTTATTAAGTTGGCAACAAGGAAGGCATGATGTCAGCCACCAATACCACCATCTACATTCCCAAATAGCGTGAAGACTTTAATTCCTGAACTGACTTCATGCTAAAGTTACAGTAAAAATAAAAACTTGAGGCATGAGGCATTACTAAACATAGATGAATTTAGTTTGGCAGAGTTTTGATTCCAATTAGCCTAGCATTTTAAGAAATTCAGTTAAAAACATGGAAAATGTAAGCTTAAACATTACAATTTTCTAAATGTGCTTATATTCTTCACCAAACTGGCTGATACAAGATGTCTTAGGCAACTCTCAGGAATATTCAAGGCAATACCACACACAAACAAAATGCAGGATAACACATACTCAAAAACCTATGCACATACACACTCACACAAGTCCTTACCTTCATGGCATGGATTTCTTCAAGCAATCGTTGTGCCCGTCTTTGGTTTTTTAACAGTGCATCTTCAGTACCCCTGCAAAAAATATATTACGGTATGTAGCCAGGCAAAGCATTAATTTTAGGCTCATATCACAAAGGATAATCATTTCATTTCTTTTAGAAAAGAATAATAAATCTCTAAATAACAAACACTCCACTATCCTACACTCCCCATTTCCCCCACTCCCAAAACACACCTTGATTTCATAACCAAACCCATATGTTAGAAATTGGCAAAAGTAAGTACTGTCTTGGCATTGTATTAATGACTATTACTTTTGATAGTTTGCTTTCTCTAGTTCCTTAGTAACACTTTTCCTAATCAATCAATCAATCAAATAGTAATTATATTTAATGTAATATAAATTTCATAAGCTGTATTTAGAGGCTGGATGTAGTTTTACCAAATGAAAATTTGCTATCTGGAATTTAAGGAAAAAATAAAGAAGGGCTATATTCTGATGTATTTATGAAAGAATAGGAAGTTAATCTGGAACAAAATATATTTGAAGGCTAAGCATTCATGCTTAAATCATAAGAACTGTAAATAAAATATTTTTTTTTACTAACACTAGTGATATTGAAAATACAAATTATTATATTTTTCTAAAAAATTATGTGGAACACAATGTTCTAACAAACACTTTCACAAAGTACTGAAGATTTCAAATCACTCAGCAACTGAAGAAAAAAATCTGACATAAAATCTTCAAAAATGATTCTTAAGGTATTACTAGATTTGTTAAGCTATATCAGTATCTTAAAATAACTTCTAATAACATAAAACACATAAGCCCAAGAAAATTTCATTCTGAAAAGACCAAAAAGAGAATTTTACAAAAGCAGCAGAAAAATTCTTCCTGAATCTTAAGCAATGATAGTCCAATCCACAGAAGGGCATGCTGACACAGCACATTCTATCTCACTCACATAATCTCTACATATAAAACAAAAATGCTGTATGAGTAAGATAATTACTTCTCTATATCCAACCCTAAAAATTTTAAAGTACCGAATAAAAACAACTTGCAAAATTTATTAGTCACAAGGTCATTGCTTTATATGACTAACTTTTTTGACTTCAGTCTGCCAACACTCCTGACAAGTTTTCGGATAACCAAAACTCGAATTCTCTTCACTTCTTTTCTCATCTTCACAACCTTTGAAGAATAAAGCAATAATTAGAAGAAAGGTACTTACTTCAGAAACAAACACATTTTATTTTGAGACTTAGTCTACCACTTTAACTACCCTTTTTGTCAATCTATATTCCTAGCTTGATAAAATCAAACCTCTTCCATAAACAGTGAAGGAATAAATCATCAGTCTAAAAATGTGTCTGAGGGCTTAAGAAAAACGAGTTATAATTTTTTAAAAAGTCACAGTATTACCAGAGATAAGTCATTTAATGTTACACTTTCATCTTGCTAGACTTGAAACATAATAAACTGTGAGTTCCCTGAAATCAGAGCCTATCATATTCATCTTTGTATTCTTACCATTTAAAACAAAGCCTCACTCATAATGGTAGAAAATTTGCTAAATGAGTGTTTGAATTAGCAAATTAGCTTTTAATTAACAATTTATTTTACTTATTTATAAAACAAACCTTTCATTATTTTTAGTAATAAATTATTTCAAGTATAACTTTAAAAGAAGCTCCACAAACACAAGGGCATATTGTGTAAGCATGTGTGCATGTAAACATAAATGTTCACACACAAACACACACGCAGACACATACAAATATACACTTTAAATCATCCTACTAGAGAGCAATGTTTAACTCTAAGAACAAAAAGCAGAGCTACAGGCCAAGAAATGAAAATTCTAGTTATAAAAACTACACATTATAATAGCATTCACTACAATGGCATGTAATCACTGAGTTTATGTTTCACCTATCACAGTTAGGAGGCATACATCTTAAAATTACTCCTGGAATGTCCTTCCTTCCCTTCTTCACTTTAGGAACTACATAAAATTCAGTTACAACATACTCCTTCGAGTGAAACCTCCAATGACTTCTTAAGTTAGAGATAACCACTGGGGTGCCACTATACTTCACAGATTCTGTTATTAAAGCACCTACCTCATTGCATTGTCACTAACTGCTCATGTGGCTGACTTTTTCTATAGACAGTGAGCTCCTAGAAAATGGAGTCTTGCAATATTTATATAGTATGTATATATAATATTTATATAGTGTTTTCAGTGTCCTGCAACAGGAACTGGCACACACAATTCCTCAAATTCTTCTTGCCAAAATAACATTATCAACATCATCCTGTTAGTGATAATATCTTCTCTTACCCTTCATGTCATTCACTCCCTTATTCATTGAAGATATTGGCAACCAACTTAAAATTTCTTTATACCCTAAGTTCTGCCATCATTCTGCGTGACTTAAATATTCACTTGAATAGCCCATCTGGTAATTATATATTCCCTTCTTTATTTTCTAAAGCCTTAATCTATTCTATCTCAGCCATCCACTTCCGTGGCCATGCTGTCGACCTTGTCATCATTCCTAATATTCAATTTCTAAAACCTTTAATTCAAATATTCCACACTGTGATCACAACTTTTATCAGCTCATTTGTTCAACTCTACCCACCACAACCATCTTTGACTTCATTAGGACCACCAGTCCACTGACTCCTACACTTTATGTTCTTCTGTTATGCAATTTAAATACATGATAAACATTTTTCAGTAACTTAAACTCCTAACCCTCTGGTTAGGAAACCTTAGTCTTGAATGTAAAAAAAAAAAAATCTGAGTTCTTCATTATCATACGCCAATAGCCAATACTTGCAACATTCTGTTTATTATAAATTCATCATAATTAACCTCAAGTGGACTCCCATTCTTCCTAGCAATCCTATAATATTCTTCTGGTCAATTCACTCTACGATGCCTGTTTTAAACTTTTGCCTACTCTCCTAAATCCTCTTGTCTCCCTCCTCTCTTCTCTCAATACCGTGGAGAAAATAATTATCAGTTGGGGACCATCATTTTTCTACTAAAATGAATGCAAATTTACCTCCATGACCCACTTTCCTTTATGAATAAAGTTACAATATAAGAAATACTGCTACACATATCTAAGGTTAATCTTTTAACTGTCTTCTGGAGTCCATTCTCTTCTGCCCTTCTAGAACTTCCACTATGGATTATCCCTTTACTATAGCATTGCCATTCTTTTCCTTTTAATGCATTTGTTTCTCAGTGATTATTTTAAATATGCTCGGGTCATTTTCATTAGAGACTAAATACACAAACATCCTCATTACATAGTTCACTAGGACCAACCCGTTTTTAGTTGTGTGGAGAGCTAAGCTTTTAGAAAGAGATGTCCAAAGTCAGTATCTCTATTTCTGCATGCCACACAAATCCAGTTTGATTTTCATCCTCATCAGTCTACTAAAAGATGTCACTAAGGACACCAATGATTTCCAAAAAAAGCCCCTGAATCTAATGGAAATTTGACATTTTTGACCACTTTTTCTTTCTTCAAACATTCTTCCCTTGGTTTTCCAAGACAGAATATGGTCCTGGTTTTCTTGTTTCCTTTCTACTCACTCTATTTTGATCTTCTTTGAAAATTCATCCACCTCTACGTAGCCATAAAATGTTAAGAGTTGAAGGAGCAATCCCAAGCCAGTGTTTCTTTTCACAGTACATTGTTTGGCTTTAAGAGCTCTTACGTGTGCATATTTAATTTGCCACTTAAACAAAGAGGAATCAAAAATTTTACTTTCGGCTGAGATCACTCATTTTAGCCCCAAGCCTAGATGTGCAACTTCCTAATTGACATTACTTTGAGTGTGCTCTAAGTCACCTCAAATTCACACCTAAACTCATGTTCTTCACCTCCAATAGGACCCTTCCCTTCTTTTGTGGGAGAGAGGGGTTTCATATTTCAGGGAATGGAACAATGCTTTTAGTTATAAACCTAAGGGTCATTAGAGGTAGCTCTCTTAATCCTTCACAATGAATCTCCAAGTCCTATTAATCTTAAATGCTAATTATCTTTCAAATTGTACCACTTTTTTTTTGCACTATCTTGACCTTTTTACAATCTTGGCTGAGTTACTGTTAATTGCTTTCTCTATACCTATTCCTGCCTCTCGCTAATCAGTTATCCATGATGCCATCAGAATAAAAATGTTTTAAAATATATACCCGATGTGACATCATTATGTAACTCTCTTCAACAGTCTCCAACTGCTCTAAGAAGAACCACATTGGCCTTCTTTCAGGCCCCTGTTCTTACCATGCCCACGTGTACTACTAAGACTTTACAACACCTGCCATTTCTAATGGTCAGAATGTTCTTTCTTCTCATGTCAGCTTGTTAACATCTATTCATCCTGATTTTGGACCAATTGTCGTTTCTGTGAATAGTCTTTTCTGGCCTCCCTGAGAGGGTCACAAGTACCTTTAGTTGGTACCTTAATATTTTATTTTTAATCTGATTATGTTTTATATGTCTTACTCCAGTAGTTTATAAATTCTGTGAAGGTCAAGTATCTGGTTTTATTCAGCACTGCATGTTAACACCTAACATAGTGCATGGCACACAGTATGTGTCTTGTAAATATAGTTAAATAAATGACCAGAAATGTAAAAATACACACTGTCAATTCATTGTTTCAAATGCAAAATAGAATTTAAAAATGCAGAGTAATCACGTTTCTTTCCCACTAGATGAGTTAATCTCTTAGGAATTTGTTTCAAATGTAAACTCATTAAAAAAAAATAATACTTTGCATAAATGAAAAGGCATACACAAGGTTTAAGTAAAAAAAAAAAGAACTGCTACATTGCATAAACAGAATTATAGGGCTTCATGATGCATTTTTTGAAAGTTATTAATAAGATAAACGAATAGGAAGCTATGAACTATACATTAAAATATGTTAACCAATGTTTCTAATTGCTGAACTTTGCAGGTGTATGGTTTGGTTAACCATTGTTAACCAAACTTTACTAATAAATTGCAGTGGGCAGAGTTGGTCCTTGCTTACATTCCAATCATAAGAAAGCCTGTCTCCAATTTTAAAATTCCAACTTAAGAAATACTATGTTTCTCATTAATGGATAAGGGAATTCTAAAAGCAAAGGGAATACCTCATATACTTAAGACTTAGGTTTCTCCAAGAACTCAGAATTTTGCAAAACTGATGACTAATATAACCTTTATGTTAAGATTTAAAAAGTTGCTAATTCATTTGTCACCCAGTAATTATAAAGTTGGTTGACAGGCAACCCAGAAGGCAATGAACAGGCCTAGCACACCAATACCCCCATAAGTCCAAATGCACTGTTTAGTGGCAGTACACTCTGGCAAACCTCTAATCAAAACCAAGAAGAACTATCATTGTTAGAATTGAGAAAACAGTAGGATTATTGTTTGGGAGGGAAAGAACAGAGGAATAATGTGAGCACACAGAAAACAGAGGCTTAAAAATGGAAATAAAATATGCTGACACAGAAGAAAATGAAAAAGAAGTAGACGGGGGTCTGAAGACAGAAACTAAAGGGAAAATCTGAGGCCATCACCAAGACTGATAAAGCCAAGCCATTCTCTTCCAAAAAGCAAGATAATGCATTTAAGACAATCTATGAAATCTGAAGAAAAAGAGTTAAGACTGACATATACAGTGAATATATATGTACTGACAGTGAAGAATCACCTAGAAATTAGGCACACGGAGGCCTTTACTGTTAACCTGGCAAAATCTAAACATAGAGCACCTCTTGCATATACAGTATAAAATACTATAAATAAAGTGGAAGTCTAATACAGCTATTTGGGAAAAGATCATGTGAGATGACTCAGAAGAGTCAACATAAACACAGGAAAGGAAACCACAGAAAGGCAAAAGCTGGCAGTGTCCAACTCAAGGAAATTCCAAAGAAAGGGTTCCCCAGCTCAGAGACTTGAGAAATCTAATCTCTTCTGGAATAACTCAATTATGGGAACAGATGCATCATAGCTCAAGATGAATTATGCAACTAAAACCCCTTTCCGTATTTCTTTTTTTTTTTTTTTGAGGCGGAGTTTCACTCTTGTTACCCAGGCTGGAGTGCAATGGTGCGACCTCGGCTCACCGCAGCCTCTGCCTCCTGGATTCAAGCAATTCTCCTGCCT